CAATACACTACTTAATAACCAAGAGATAACTGAAAAATCAAAAAGGAGATCAAAAAATACCTAGAAACAAATGACAGTGAAAACAAAACGACCCAAAATTTATGGGATGCAGCAAAGGTAGTTCTAAGAGGGAAGTTTATAGCAATACAATCCTACCTTAAGAAACAAGAAACATCTCAAATAAACAACCTAACCTTACACCTAAAGCAATTAGGGAAAGAAGAAAAAAAAAAAAACCCAAAGTTAGCAAAAGGAGAGAAATCATAAAGACCAGATGAGAAATAAATGAAAAACAAATGAAGGAAATGACAGCAAAGATCAATAAAACTTAAAGCTGGTTCTTTGACAAGATAAACAAAATTGATAAACCATTAGCCAGATTCATCAAGAAAAAAAGGAAGACTCAAATCAGTATAATTAGAAATGAAAAAGAAGTAACAATTGACACTGCAAAAATACAAAGGATCATGAGAGATTACAACAAGCAATGCCAATAAAATGGACAACCTGGAAGAAATGGATAAATTCTTAGAAATGCACAACCTTCCGAGACTGAGCCAGGAAGAAATAGAAAATATAAACAGACCAATCACAAGCACTGAAATTGAAACTGTGATAAAAATCTTCCAACAAACAAAAGCCCAGGACCAGATGGCTTCACAGGTGAATTCTATCAAACATTTACAGAAGAGCTAACACCTATCCTTCTCAAACTCTTCCAAAATATAGCAGAGTGAGGAACAGTCCCAAACTCATTCTACGAGGCCACCATCACTTTACCAAAACCAGACAAAGATGTCACAAACACAGAAAACTACAGGCCAATATCACTGATGAATACAGATGTAAAAATCCTCAACAAAATACTAGCAAAAAGAATCTAACAAAGGATCATACATCATGATCAAGTGGGGTTTATCTCTGGAATGCAAGGATTCTTCAATATACGCAAATCAATCAATGTGATATACCATATTAACAAATTGAAGGAGAAAAACCATATGATCATGTCAATAGATGCAGAGAAAGCTTTTGACAAAATTCAACACCCATTTATGACAATAAACCCTCCAGAAAGTAGGCATAGAGGGAACTTGTCTCAACATAATAAAGGCAATATATGACAAACCCACAGTCAACATCGTCCTTAATGGTAAAAAAGAGAAACCATGTCCACTAAGATCAGGAAAAGGACAAGGTTGCCCACTCTCACCAGTATTATTCAACATAGTTTTGGAAGTTTTAGCCACAGCAGTCAGAGAAGAAAAAGAAATAAAAGGGATCCAAACTGGAAAAGAAGTAAAGCTGTCACTGTTTTCAGATGACATGATACTATACATAAAGAATCCTAAAGATGCTACCAGAAAACTACTAGAGCTAATCAATGAATTTGGTAAAGTAGCAGGATACAAAATTAATGCATAGAAATCTCTAGCATTTCTATATACTAATGATGAAACATCTGAAAGTGAAATTAAGAAAACACTCCCATTTACCACTGTAACAAAAAGAATAAAATATCTAGGAATAAACCTACCTAGGGCTTCCCTGGTGGCACGGTGGTTGAGAGTCCGTCTGCCAATGCAGGGGACATGGGTTCGTGCCCCAGTCCGGGAAGATCCCACATGCCGCGGAGCAGCTTGGCCCGTCAGCCGTGGCCACTGAGCCTGTGTGTCCAGAGCCTGTGCTCTGCATTGGGAGAGGCCACAACAGCGAGAGGCCCACGTATCTCAAAAAAATAAAATAAAATAAAAAACCTACCTAAGGAGACGAAAGACCTCTATGCAGAAAATTATAAGAAGTTAATGATGATACAAATAGATGGAGAGATATACCATGTTCTTGGATTGGAAGAATCAACATTGTGAAAATGTCTCTACTACCGAAAGCAATCTACAGATTCAATGCAATCCCTATCACACTACAACTGGCATTTTTCACAGAACTAGAACAAAAAATTTCACAATTTGTATGGAAACACAAAAGACCCCAAATAGCCAAAGCAATGTTCAGAAAGAAAAACGGAGCTGGAGATATCAGGCTCCATGACTTCAGACTGTATTACAAAGCTATAGTAATCAAGACAGTATGGTACTGGCACAAAAACAGAAATACAGATCAATGGAACAGGATAGAAAGCCCAGAGATAAACCCATGCACATATGGTCATCTTATCTTTGATAAAGGAGGCAGGAATGTACAGTGGAGAAAAGACAGCCTCTTCAATAAGTGGTGCTGGACAAACTGGACAGGTACATGTAAAAGAATGAAATTAGAACGCTCCCTAACACCATACACAAAAATAACCTCAAAATGGATTAAAAACCTAAATGTAAGGCCAGACACTGTCAAACTCTTAGAGGAAAGCACAGGCAGAACACTCTATGACATAAATCACAGCAAGATCCTTTTTGACCCATTTCCTAGAGAAATGGAAATAAAAGCAAAAGATAAAAAAAAATGGGACCTAATGAAACTTAAAAACTGTTGCACGGCAAAGGAAACCATAAACAAGACCAAAAGACAACCCTCAGAATGGGAGAAAATATTTGCAAATGAAGCAACTGACAAGGGATTAATCTCTAAACTACATAAACAGCACATTCCACTCAGTATCAGAAAAACAAACAACCCAATCGAAAAATGGGCAAAAGACCTAAATAGACATTTCTCCAAAGAAGATATACAGATTGCCAACAAACACATGAACGAACGCTCAACATCATTAATCATTTGAGAAATGGAAATCAAAACTACAATGAGATGTCATCTCACACTGGTCAGAATGGCCATCATCAAAAAATCTACAAACAATAAATGCTGGAGAGGGTGTGGAGAAAAGGGAATCCTCTTGCACTGTTGGTGGGAATGTAAATTGATACAGCCACTGTGAACAGTATGGAGGTTCCTTAAAAAACTAAAAGTAGAACTACCATACGACCCAGCAATCCCACTACTGGGCATATACCCTGAGAAAACCATAAGTCAAAAAGAGTCATGTACCAAAATATTCATGGCAGTTCTATTTACAATAGCCAGGACATGGAAGCAACCTAAGTGTCCATCAACAGATGAATGGATAAAGAGGATGTGGCACCTATATACAGTGGAATATTACTCAGTCATAAAAAGAAACGAAACTGAGTTATTTGTAGTGAGGTGGATGGACCTAGAGTCTGTCATACAGAGCAAAGTAAGTCAGAAAGAGAAAAACAAATACCGTATGCTAACACATATATATGGAATCTGAAAAAAAAAAAGGTCATGAAGAACCAAGGGGCAAGATGGGAATAAAGACACAGACTTACTAGAGAATGGACTTGAGGATATGGGGAGGGGGAAGGGTTAGCTGTGACAAAGTGAGAAAGTGGCATGGACATATATACACGACCAAACGTAAAATAGATAGGTAGTGAGAAGCAGCCACATAGCACAGGGAGATCAGCTCGGTGCTTTGTGACCACCTAGAGGGGTGGGATAGGGAGGGTGGGAGGGAGGGAGACACAAGAGGGAAGAGATATGGGAACATATGTATATGTATAACTTTATGTATATAACTTTATGTATAACTTATATGATTCACTTTGTTATAAAGCAGAAACTAACACACCATTGTAAAGCAATTATACTCCAATAATGATGTTAAAAATAAATAAATAAATACAAATAGACACACACAAAAAAGAAAAAGTAGAAATCAAAAGAGAAAGCAAAAATTATCTTGAGACAGATGAAAATGAAAATACAACATATAAAAATTTATGGGATGCAGCCAAAACACTTTCAGCGGGAAGTTTATAGTGAGAAATGGCTACATTAAAAAAGAAGGGGCTTCCCTGGTGGCGCAGTGGTTGAGAGTCTGCCTGCCGATGCAGGGGACATGGGTTCGTGCCCTGGTCCGGGAAGATCCCACATGCTATGGAGTGGCTGGGCCTGTGGGCCATGGCCGCTGAGCCTGCACGCCCAGAGCCTGTGCTCTGCAATGGGAGAGGCCACAACAGTAAGAGAGGCCCGCGTACTGCAAAAAAAAAAAAAAAGAAAAGAAAGAAAAGGATCTCAAATAAACAACCTAAGTTTACCCCTCGAGGAACTGCTCAAAGAACAAACTAAGTCCAGTATTTAGCAGGAGAAAGGGAACACTAAAAACCTAAGCAGAGGGCTTCCCTGGTGGCACAGTGGTTGAGAGTCCCCCTGCCGATGCAGGGGACACGGGTTCGCGCCCAGGTCTGGGAAGATCCCACATGCCGCGGAGAGGCTGGGCCCGTGAGCCATGGCCGCTGAGCCTGCGCGTGTACAGAAAAAAACAAACAAACAAATAAAAAACTAAGCAGAAATAAATGATGTAGAGACCAGAAAGTCAGTAGAAAAAAATGAACTAAGTTAAGAATTTTATTTAATATGCAAAAATAAACTGTTAGCTAGACTAACCAAGAAAAAGTGAGGGGATTCAAATAAATAAAATTATAAATGAAAGAGAAGATATTACAACTAATACCACAGAGGTGCTGAACAATTCCATGCCATTAAACTGGTTAACCTAGTAGACGTGAATAAATTTCTACAAACATACACATACCAAGACAGAATCATGAAGAAATAGAAAATCTGAACAGACCAATAACAAGTAGGGAGATTGAATCATTAACCTCAATCTCCCAACACTGAAAAGCTCAGAACCACATGGTAAATTCTACCAAACATTTAAAGAGGAAAAAATGTCAATCCTTCTCAAACTCTTCCAAAAAACTGAAGACGGGAGAACACTCCCAAATTTATTTTAAAAGATGGGCATTACCCTGATACCAAAGTCAGACAAAGACACTATAAGAAAAGAAAATTACAGGCCAATATCTCTAAAAAAAAATAGATGTGAAAATCTCCAAATAAAATACTGTAATTCAAATTCAATAGCACATTAAAATGTCATAATCATGATCAAGTGGGATTTACCCATGGGGTGCAAGAATTGTTCAGCATACTCAAATCAATAAACATGACACAAAAGACTAACAAAATAAAGGATGAAAATTATACGATCATCTCAGTAGAGGCAGAAAAAGCATTTGACAAAATTCAGTACCTTTTCATGATAAAAAAAATTTCATAAATTAGGTATACAAGGAATGACTTCAATATATAAAGTTTACATATGACAAGCTTACAGATAACATCATACTTAATGAAATCCCTATCAAAACTCCAATTTTTTTTCCCACAGAAATAGGAAAAAAAAATTTATCCTAAGATTTATATGGAACCACAAAAGACCCTGAAGAACCAAAGCATTTTGAGAAAGAAGAACAAAGCTGGAGGTATCACACAGACTGATTTTAAGCTATGCACAAAGCTATAGTAATCAAAAGAGTATGGTATTGGCATTAAAAATAGACACATAGATGAATGGAATAGAATATTGAGCCCAGAAATAAATCCATGCATGCATATATAGTCAATATTCTATTACAGGAGTGCCTAGAATGCACATGGGGAATGGGTAGCCTCTTCAACAAATAGTTTTGGGAAAACTACATGCAAAAGAATGAAACTGGACCCTTATCTTACACCACATATAAAAATCAACTCAAAATGGGTTAAAGACTTTAATGTAAGACATGAAACCATAAAACTCCTAGAAGAAAACATAGGAAAAACTTCCTTGACATTGGCCTTGGCAATGATTTTTTTTATATAAGACACCAAAAGCACAAGCAACGAAAGCAAAATCAACACATGGAATTACATCAAACCAAAAAGCTCCGCCCAGGAAATAATCAACAAATGGAAGGTTAACCTACAGAATGGGAGAAAATATTTGTAAATCTTATATCTCATAAGGGGTTAATATGAAAAATATATGAGGACCTCATAAAACTCAAGAGTAAAAATATCAAACAACCTTATTAAAAAAATAGCAAAGCACCTGTGGACATTTTTCCAAGAAGACATACAACTGGCCAACAGGCATATGAAAAGCTGTTCAACGTCACTAATTATCAGGATATCCAAATCAAAACCACAATGAAGTATCCCCTCACACCTGTTAGCAGGGCTATTTCCTTAGAAACAAGAGATGACAGGTATTGGTAAAGGTTTGGAAAAAAAATAAATCCTTGTATACTGTTGATGGAAATGTAAATTGGGATAGCCATTATGAAAAAACAGTCTGGAAGTTCCTCAAAATATTAAAAATACAACTATCATATGATCCAGCAAGTAATTTCTTGGTATTTATCCAAAGGAAATGAAATCAGTGTCTCAAAGTGATATCTGCATTCCCATATTAATTGCAGCATTATTGAAATTAGTCAAGATATGGGGAAATGTGATATATAAATTGTGTATATATGGGATTATTCAGCCATAAAAAATAAGAAGGTCTTGTGTCAACATGGTTGAACATGCAAGACGTTATGCTAAGTGAAGTAAGACAGACAAAGAAAGCATATACTGTATTAACTCTTATACATGCAATATAAAAAAGTTGAACCAGAGCATAGAACATTGGTTACTGGGGTCTTGGGGATAGCAAAAATGGAGAGATTTGTACTGGTCAAACAGTACAAATGTTCTATTATAAGATGAACAAGTTCTGGGAACATAATGTACATCATTAGATTAATGTACTATAGTTAATAATGACTATAGTTAATAATAGTGTACTGTATACTTGAATTTTGCTAAGGGAATAACTCTTGTGTTCTCATACACTGAGAAAAAACACCCAATGTCTACATGAGGAAATAGATGTATTAATTAACTTGGCTGTGATAATTATTTTAAAATGTATATGTATGTTAAACCATCAAGTTGTACACCTTAAATATATACAAATTTTGTTTGTCAATTATACCTCAATACTGATGGAAATAAATAAATAAAAAGAAAAAGTAAAAACTAAAAGGAAGGAAAATTCATTTGTCAAATTTGTTCATTAATATAGATGTAAAATACTAAAGAAATATTAACAAACTGAATCCTGCAAATTTTAAAAATGGTAAGATGATCAAAATTGATTTATTCCAGGGAATTAAGTCAGTTTAACATATAAAAATCAATCAATTTTGCTTATCTTAACAGAACATATAGAAAAATGAAAAATGAATTCACTAGATGCAGAAGGCATCACTTGTTAAAGTCAATAACCATTCTATAGGAACTCTCAACAAACTAGTATTAAAGGGGAATTTCATAATTTGATAAAGTTTATCTACATAAATCTGCCTAATACTTAAGAGTAATTTTCAGGATTAAATCTACTATAAACTTACATATATTTTGAGCAAGTAATCAGATTTTTACCTTTCAATGTGTAAATAGCAAATATATAACAAAACCAAATTATTGTTTTTGTCCCCCTCTTCTTTGCCACATTTATTTGAGTACAAACTCTAGCATAATGCAAAAATTGCAAGGATTCTGCATTAGTCTACACTCTGCCATTAACCAAATATGTCCTTGGGAAAGCAATTTACCAAGTTTCAGATTCAACACCTTTAAAATGCAAATAATATTTAGCCTTGAATAAGTTTCTAGGTTGTTATAAGATTACATATGTGTATGTATTCCTAGATATTTAAAGTGATATAAAATCATAATGCAATATTTTAATCTAGTAAAAACTTTAAGGTCTGAGAAATGTAGAGACTTCTACACCTAAGTATGTTTGTCTTAGTGATTTTACTTTATTCATGTACTTAATGAATATTTTTGATTATGTATATAGTGCCTTAGCCTAGGATACTGATTTAAGGGATACATACAATCTCTCCTCTTATGGAGCTTTCATTACACTAAGGGGGATAGCCATTCATCAAATAATTATACAAATAAATATTCAACTTACAATTGTGGTTGTCAAAGTGTAAAAATGTACTGAAACCCCTTGATTTATGGATATACCACAAATTAATAAACCTTCTTTGAGGATACTGTGGGATCAGCCTATATAAGCCTTCAAGATTCTTTATCTTGTGTGTGTATATATATACTATATTTTGATCCTTTGTAAGACACCAAAATTCCTCCAAGATTCTTAATTATCAAAACATCTCTATTTCTTGGGCTTCCCTGGTGGTGCAGTGGTTGAGAGTCCGCCTGCCGATGCAGGGGACACGGGTTCGTGCCCCGTTCCGGGAAGATCCCACAGGCCGCGGAGCGGCTAGGCCCGTGAGCCATGGCCACTGAGCCTGCGCGTCTGGAGCCTGTGCTCCGCAATGGGAGAGGCCACAACAGTGAGAGGCCCGCGTACCGCAAAAAAACAAAACAAACAAACAAAAAAACATTTCTATTTCTTAATGTATTTTAGTTTTCATGACAAAAAATAGCTATGTACAAAAAATAGCTATGTCCAGTCAATACTCATTAGTGAAAGTTTAGTTAACTAGCTACAGCTATATTCTACAATACATTTATTAATATTTCTTTAATCACTAAACATTTGTATAAGAAAAAATGTACCCTAAAAGGATAATAATGTTAGACAATTTTGCCGATTTAGCCAATATTTTAGTAAGAATTTCACTTTGAAATGTAAAGTACATAACCCTGATAAGCCTCATTAACTATGCATTTGCTTTTCTTCTTACATCACTGTTAGAACCAGAAACTTGACTGATGAAAGAGTGAAGTAATAAACAATTAGATTAGGGTATTTTATATAATATATCTCATGGAACTCTTTACCTTAAGATATTATGAAATCAACAAAAAGTTTTGTTGAAAATATCTGAACACATATTGATCACAAACTCTGAAAACAATTAGAGCTATGACTGTGATCTTAATTACTAATACTAAATACTAAAAAGTATGGTACAGATATCCTTTAGTCTTTGCAACTATAGAATAATTCTGACCTATCTAGATTTATTTTCCCTTTAGTTATTTTATTTTATTTTTTAATCATTACTTTAAAAAAATTCTTCTAGCTTTATTGAGCTATAATTGACATGCAGTACTATATAAGTTTAAGGTGAACAGCATAATGATTTGACTTACACACATCATGAAATGATTATGACAATAAGTTTAGTGAACATTTGTCATTTCATATAGATACAAAATAAAAGAAATATTTTTCCTTGTGATAAGAACTCTTAGGAATTACTCTCTTAACAACTTTCATATATAACACAGAGCAGTGTTAATTAATCATGTTGCCCAGTACATTCCTAGTACTTACAACTGGAAGTTTAGACCTTTGACCACCTTCATCACTGTATAAATATATTACATTATTATTGACTACATTCCCTGCAGTGTACATTTCATCCCTATAACTCATTTAACTTGTAACTGGAAGTCTGTACCTCTTAATCTCTCTCACCTATTTCACTCATCCCTCCCTCCAACCCCACAAGTTCTTAAAATCTTCTTTTGGAGTCCTTAATCTCAGTGTCAGGTTGTGAATTATGGTTTTTGTGTTGAGTCTTCTGTTCAATAGAAGTTTTGTTTTCTTTAATAGTTTGTGATACATGTATGTAGCATAGTGCCTAAGACATAGTGTTTAATAACTATTATTTAAGTGAGCTAGTTTCTGACTTTACTTGAATACAAAAGTCTAAGCCTTTAGACTTCTTAAACATATATTGGTTCTGCAAGTTTGTCATAATGTAAGGAACATTTTCACCAGAATAAGCACCATGAGCCTGAACTTTGCAAAAGAAGAGATATTTTAAGTTCCTCTCTGTGGGAAGTTATCATTCCTCTCTGTGGGAAGTTATCATTCCTATCATCCATAACATGAAAATTAATTCCTTATAACAGTATATCATAATCTCTACTATTTAATGTATTAACCAGGCCTCCGTTCAAATAGCAGTATGAGGAATGAACAAAGCATGGTGTGATACATGACTAACTGCAACATTTTCCCTGGGGTTATCTGAAAATGGAGCAAGTTTAATAGGTTCCTATAAAATTATAACTGCATATAAAATAACCAGCATAATTATAAATTTTAAAATTTATTTTGATATCCTAAAATATTTAAATCCAATAATCCTCCTTTATTGAAAATTATTGAGGTAGAAATAAAAGAAAAAGGGATAGCTACTCTATATTTGTAACCATAATGAAATGGTTACAAATGGTTTGCACTATACTACAAACCATAATGTAGTATAGTGTTTCCCAAATTGATTTCTACCGATTTAAACTGTATTCCGAAGACAGAGAGACTGTGAAGGAGACGTAGGGATGGGGGGAGAGGACAGAGAGAGAGAAAGAGCCGTAGAATGCAATTTTATTTTTAAAGACTCTACAAACAAATTTGGAAAACACCAAATACTCTATTTCTCTTGGTAATTCAGAAATGTTTCCTACATATTAAAGACTGATAAGTTCAGCCACAAAGAAAAGCATTTCACTTTGTTTTACACACTATTTCCCAAATACATTTGAGAGGGGGTCTCAGGGAATCAGGCAGCAGGAAAAGAGCCCTTCTCAGTCTGTCGTGATGCTGGTTCCCCCCACCAGTCTGTTCTCTCCTTCTGCCTCATAAAAGGGATCCCAGCTGGGAGAGCAGGTCCCTGATAAGAATGGAGTCACTTCTACAGCTTTGGAAGGCCTGACTGGGTTTCTACATGAGAGAAAGGTACTCTGTTGGTTTGTGTTTTGATTTAGGGACTTTTCTGTTCCCGAGAGCTGAAACTCACTCTGATCCAGCAGGCTTTCTGAACTGAAAGTAAATATAAGCCTACTGATCTAGGGATTTTTGCTGCAGGATTGGAATTTATTGCAGTTATTCTCAATGTGGGCTGCATATCACACCTGGAGAGTTTTTAAAAATATTCTGATATCTAGGCACCAACCAAGACCAAAGGGCTCTGGAAAGGGGGCCTGGCGTCGGCAGTTCTTAAAAGCTCTCTAGGTGATTCTATAATCACAGTCAGGGCTGAGAACCACCCCTCCAGTGCTTCATTTTTAACCTCAGCTGAAGAACTCCCTGTAAACCTGTTTTTCTCTCCATTTACCATTCCTATTCTCATTACAAGCTTAAGGGTTTCAATGTATTCTCTGTTGAAATTCCTAAGACAAGAAAACCTGATTCACATAGACAGTGAACCCTATCCATATTTACAGACAATTTTAGTCCTTGTTTTTGAAAAACGGTTGTGTGTTTTCACACTAGGTCAAGTTCTAAGTTGCTGGCCAGCAAATGGGTTCTTGTTTTTGCCTCAGGGACCTATGTGTAGACCAACCATTTGTGTCCTTTGGAGTCAGAATCACAGGAGACAAAAAAATTAAAATAAAATAAAGTCAACCAAAACAAAAAAACTACATACTCCTGTGCAAATGATAGAGACAATGTTTTACAAATAATCAATTCAATAAACCATAGTGTGGCAGTTGTTCTTAATATTGTACATTATACACTCTCTTGACTGGAAATATCTACACAAATTCTTCATCCAAAACTTTCAACTATTTCCCACTAATATGACTTAAGCAATGATAAAACCAACAAGCCCACTCATTTTCTCCCAATCCAGAGAGTAATACAGTGCCATTTCAATATCATTCAAATCAAGGTGTAGCATAGGGCCAAATTTATTTTATTTTTGATTAGTCTCAGGATTCACAACATCCAGTCTTCCATTTCCCTTCTGATTTTTATTCCCAACCCAATCTAGATATTATTTCCTAGCATTTGTCAGTTTAGGGAATAAATGTTACATTTAATCACTACCAACATAGCCTATGTAAAATCAACGGGTACAAAGAGAAAATTGGCAGTACTATTTCTGTTGGAAAAGGTTAAATTACCAGAACTACTACCAAGGCAGCACTGCAGCCACTTAATGTAGTGATCCCAGCTGGTATTTTAAAACCAAACACTTTTGCATGATGGGGTATGTGTCAGGACTATTGAATCTTATGAACCTTTGCATCACTTGATTGATTGATATATTACTGTTTTGTTGCATACGAGTCTCCAGGTCAACAATACGGTTGCCAAAAGTTTAACCCCATAGGGGCTAAAATCTACTACATTCCATTCCTAGCTGGTAAGAACTTCTAGGAAGAGCACACTGCTGCTGTAAGTCATTCACCTTCCTGCCCCATGTTGGGTACAGAAATTTTTAAATTTTCCACCTTAAAGTAATACCATATCTATGTTCAAATTCTCTCTTTTGGGACACATGGTATTTCCCAAGCAACCATACTAAAGGCACAGAGTTTATTTTAAATATGTGCTATTACTAAACATATATGATTCCACAGCTACTTCAAGAGTTGGGCAAGGTCTAATAAAAGAAAGGATGCATTCGTCAAATAAGTGAACAAATCACCCAGGGCTTAGTGGAGACTAGAACTAAATTCAGGGCAATTCAAGGAATCATTAGGCAAGGCTCCTGTTATTGGTGTCGAACTAAAGTGACTAATCATAGAGCCCTGCCTCATGGTTCCTTGAACCACTCTTAAGAATTCACTGCATACTCTCAGTTTTCTCAAAGATTGTTTTGTCCAGCTTACTTCCAATGCTACGTAGATATTTTTGTTTTCATCAAAATACTCTTGATTTTTATGCCATTTAAATAGCTCAGTCTTTGTTTTACCTTTAGAACTAACTCTTGCTGAGGGTAATTAAACACATAGGAAAAAGAAAAAAGTTTAAAATGTGTGTACTCTGTATGTTACATTAAGTAAAGTGTTTCATAAAACCAATAGCTGTGTGAATCTCAGCGTGTCGTTTTACTGAAATGGTGTTTTGTTTGCTTTGTTTTTAAGTTAGTATAAAAATATGGGGAGGGGGGAGGGTGAGCTGTGACAAAGCGAGAGAGAGGCATGGACATATACACACTACCAAACGTAAGGTAGATAGCTAGTGGGAAGCAGCCGCATAGCATAGGGGGATCAGCTCGGTGCTTTGTGACCACCTAGAGGGGTGGGATAGGGAGGGTGGGAGGGAGACGCAAGAGGGAAGAGATATGGGAACATATGTATATGTATAACTGATTCACTTTGTTATAAAGCAGAAACTAACACACCATTGTAAAGCAATTATACCCCAATAAAGATGTTAAAAAAAAATAGAAACTCCTCTTTCTTGTTTTCATGGTAAATATTTTAAATAAGTCATTATGCTTTTTTTCACACTGAACAAAGTTGGAACCTCAAAAATCTTCTAACTCAACAATTCAGGGAACTGAAACACCAATCTATTAGACGCATAATGTGAATTTACATCTATTATTCATTCCTGATCTTAAAGATTACTTAATTCAACAGATAAAGACAAATGGCCAAATCATTTGATGCATGTAGATAAAAACATATATATAGATTTATTTTTTAAGTGAAAATAATAATGAAAGTTTATTTTGATATTATGGAAAATTTAATACATAGTTTAAATATAAAGACTACTGAAAATATCAATATTAATTTAAATTTTGCAATTCTTATGATTTGAATAGAAACCTTCAAATGCCTTTTGTAATGTTTCAAGGGCAGTATTCAGGAATTAATGTGTGTTAAGAAACAATTCTTCATGGGTCTCCCAGTTTCTGTGTATCTTATCTTTTGTTCTGGGTGATCATGTCAAGGATGTTTGTACAGCAAACAACCTTGGAAGATAGAGATAGTGCCTCACCCTAAAGTAGAAGACATTTATTTACTGACCAAAATCAGACAGACTTTGGCACAAAGAATGGACAGTTTGCTAGAAGCCCCTATAAAAGATTGAGGATTGCTAAACTCAGGTTTCCTCTGCTGTGATGTAGACCCAGCAAGGGCACATCATTCACCTTGGTGCCCCTCCTCACTGCACTCAAGGGGTGTGGGGGGCATGAGATAAATGAATACAAACATGAAACTCTGACAGCTTACTATGCTGTGAGTTATCAAGTCCTTGTCTCTAGCACAGGAGACTCCAGTCAGCATACATGAAACTAACTTGTAATCTTGCAAGTTTGGCAAGATCTCAAACCCCTCACAGAGCCTGACCAAGTGCTTTTAATGTTTAGTATAGGGGGGACAGGGATACTCAATGGGTGCGAGGCTTTCGTTACACAAGATGAATAAATCCTAGAGGTCTACTGTGGAGTGCCTATAGCTAATACTGTATTGTATAATTTGAAAATTTGCTAAGAAGGGTTGATACTATATTAATGTTCTTATCACAAAAAAATAATAAAAAAGAAGGCAGGAAGACAGTTTTGGAGAAGAT